TCTGGAACAAGGTGGGTGGAGCAGGAGTACTGTTCACAGGTAGAAGAATTAGGTTGGGGACTGAGTGAGGTTGGGGACTGAGTGGTGTTAATTGATGCAGGAGCAGGCAAGGAGGGGCCATATCTTGATTACCAATGATCTACAGCTAGACAGTTGAAAATCGCAGGAATTAATGCAGCCAGAAGTTCAAAGAATATTACAAATCGCATGGATCTAATGAGATTGGTTAATTAATTCTTTGGATTTTTCATGTGTGAATGTTCGAAGGTGCAGCGCAGTATGGGGTGTATGAGCCCTGCTTTCTAGAGAGAGCTAGTCAAGGCAAGAGAACAAGGGAGCAGCCGCACACGTGTGTGGCTGCGCTGGATACGACACATGGACATTGTCACTGAACAATCTGACAATAATTTAAAAAACCAAGGTGAATCTGAGTAACTTTCTCCTCGATTGCCCACCTTGAGCTGGAACAAAATTCATGCAAGAGGTTTGTTTTTTTACCTCTGCACCTCCTGCACCCCTAGAGACTCTGGGGAAAAAAGCACATGGGAAGAACCCAATTCTTTCTTCTCCCCTCTTCCTTCCTTCCTTAGCACATTCAGAATTAAAACCAGATTCACATTTCATGTGTCTAGCTTCGCATTCAAGAATGATACAATCACACACAGAGAACACTCTGATTCCGCAGGTCGTAAGTGTCAGATCAATCTGTTACGGGAGGCACTGAATACAAAGCATCTTTGGGTTATGTATGTTCATATTCAGAAGCCGATTTTCATAAACCCTGGGGAGGCCATGGGAGGGGGCTCCTCCTAACTGTTGCTGTGGTGTAATGCACCACACAACTCACCACCACACTAAGGCAGGCCTGGGCAAAATACAGCCCGCAGGCCCATCTCTGAGGGGAGGGGATGGGGTGTAATGGAGGAGGGATGTAATGAGGGAAAGGATGGGGTGCAATGGGGAGGAGTGCAAAGGGGCAGGGGATGGGGTGCAATGGAGGAGCAGAAATTTCTATGGAGAGGAAGACCGGATGTGAGGTTGGGGACTGAGTGGTGTTAATTGATGCAGGAGCAGGCAAGGAGGGGCCATATCTTGATTACCAATGATCTACAGCTAGACAGTTGAAAATCGCAGGAATTAATGCAGCCAGAAGTTCAAAGAATATTACAAATCGCATGGATCTAATGAGATTGGTTAATTAATTCTTTGGATTTTTCATGTGTGAATGTTCGAAGGTGCAGCGCAGTATGGGGTGTATGAGCCCTGCTTTCTAGAGAGAGCTAGTCAAGGCAAGAGAACAAGGGAGCAGCCGCACACGTGTGTGGCTGCGCTGGATACGACACATGGACATTGTCACTGAACAATCTGACAATGCCATAATGAATTGGGTTCGGAGAAAGGTTTTGGATTGCTTGAAGTGCCACAGCTGAAATACACACAATGCCCTGTAAACAAGTGAAATATCGATATAGATGTAAAGGAAGAAAAAGGACAAAAATTCCATTTCTAAAAATAGATTTTTAATAAAAAGCTATTGAGATGTAAAGGAAAATGTTCTTGTGCTGACACCTTGTTACAATAACACCAGTTTCTAAATTTCATATTTGAAACTGAAATTTCACAGCAGTAGAAAACTCTGACAGGAGTGAAAGTCCTCTCCCCCCTCATCTGGGGCAAGAGATGGGGCAAGGTGAGGGCAGCAAACCCCACCCACTGTCTGGCTGTGTTTCGTACCAGTTTCACCCTGTGCTGGGGTGGAGCAAACCAGGGTGGGGGGAAAGGCAGCCTGGGTTCTTTCCAGACAGGGGGTCCCATTCACCCTGCCTGGGCTGGGCTGCCAGGCGTCCTGTTTTCCACTGGAGGCTCCAGTTGCAAAGGGAAAGGGGCAGTGACCAGTTAGCACAAAACATCCAGGTACCTGCAGTAACTGGCTCCTGCCTGGGGGAAGAGCCGCAGCGCTGGGAGGGGCCAGTCAGTGCCGCAGGGTCACTGTCAGGGGCAGGGATTCCCTCCTGCCTGGGCCGGCACTGGGCAGATGGTCAAAGGAGCCGCGTTGGTGCCCCCAGCATTGAGACAGGGATTGAAATATGGGCGGAGCATCCCAAAGAAGGTGTCAGTGAAGGTGAAGAGATGGGACCCGTCAGTCACATTGTAAAACGAGACCTCGCCCGCCTCATAGTCCAGGAAAACCCCCACCCGGCTGGGCCTGACGCTCACGGAGAGGGGGTTGGAGGGGGAGGTGCAGGCCTCGTATCCCCCGTCCCTCAGCCACACGACCCAGTATCCGTTCCCAGGTGTGAGTGCGCTCTTCCCCTTCCTGTTCACAGATTCCCTGCAAACCCCCAGAGTCCATCTCGGCTTGTCCCCCACCTCCACCTCCCAGTAACGCCTCCCGCCCGCGAACCCCTCGGCACCCAGGACAATGGGAAAGTTCTCAAATCTCTCCGGGGTGTCGGGCAGATCCTGGCGCGTGTCTCTGTCTCTCACACTTTTCCGATCCTCAGACAGGACAAGGTAGCGATTTGCCGTGTCTGGATCCAGCATCACGTCCACTGGGGAGAGAGTCACAGAGTCATTACGGGGGCAGGGGCTGGTCCCTGGGCTCAGAGGGAGATTAACCTGCCTCCCCGTTAATTTCTGGGGGGGGGGGGGG